AATGCTTCATAACTGTAATAAAAGAATTAAGTTATTTTGTCTTGTACATTTAGCACTGGCAGTTTTCAAACTGTGTGATACTGGGAAGAAAAAACAGAACACAATGGAGAAAAGGAAAACAGAAAAGAGCAAAAATTTCCATTGTAAATATGTAAACTTAGGAGGCAGGTACACGTGCATTCTAAGAGCAGATCGCTGCAGTAGTTCGATAGCAGTAAATGGAAAAGATCACTATTTATTCTAGCAGCTTCCAAAGTTGTGTCAGATATTTCACAGAACAGAAGAGCGCTTATGGTCCTTCCCAAAGCATTCAGCTATGGAAAATGGAATGAGAAGAGGAGAACAGAAGGGGATTTGCCAGCTCCAGTGCAGAGAGAGTGTCAGTTAGTGCCCAGCATGATTTGTTAGAAAGAGGGGGAGGATGGGGTGAGGCTGGAAAGGGAATTAAGGCTGGGGAAGGTGGAGGACATTTGTGGTTGTTTTTTGTTTTTTTTTTTAAAGGTAATAGGAGAATCTAGAGACTTTCATATTAGGTCTTCCTTGTGAGTTAGCAGCTTGGTGGCTAGAAGATTTTTTTCGTCTAGAGATCAAAGAGGAAACAGACTTTGGGCAAGCATGTGCTTGAATAGAACAGGCCTTACAAGTCGTTTGGGGTGTTTCGCACCCAGTGCTTCATGAGAAGCTTCTAGTGACCATGTAAGCAGCAGCTGCACAGGGTGCAAGCTGGACATTATTAGTGAAGCTGTGGAGAGGGTATAGAGTATTGCAAGAAAACAGAGAGAAGCAGAGAGTGGTGGTGTAATGCAAAGTGCTGATGAAACATGATGTTTGAGCTAGGTGTGCTAACTCCTGGAACAACTGAATGTGCTTGGAGCAACCAGCAAGAAAGAAGATTTTGGCGATGCCATTTTGGATGGGTAGAGGAAAATGAGCTGGGTATTTATCAGTGGATTGTCCCTTCCCCTTGAGATCTCAAGGGAGCTACTTCTCTGACAATGGACAAGTTTATTGGAGTCTAGGAAGCTACTGCAGTACATACTGTGTTTAATTACCCAAGAGCCTATCTTCATATATGGTATTCTTTTAGTATCTGTAGAGAGAAGTAATACTTAACAGCCCTGCTCTATGCAGCATCAGTGCAGCGTCCTCATGAGATTCTGCCAAAATACCTGAACAAAAGACTTACTACTCATTAGTTGGTGGGTGTCTTTTGGGTTTTTTGGTTTAATGTCAGAAAGCTACTTCTAAATGCCAGCCTGCTGCTTTTCTTAGTCATTCTACCAGTTGGGAGTGATTCTGCAAGAAATAGCAGATATGTACAGTAGTAAAATAATTGAAGATCAGATTCAGGTGTGATATTTTAAATGGTAATTCTGCTGGTGTGGAAGTGCTGCTGGTATTGAAAGGACTAAACATCAACACAATTTTAAAAATGAAACAAACAAAAACCCTCACAAAATTAAGCAAGGAAAACATTCAGAAATAAACTAGGTTTCTGTTAATTTTCTTCTTAGGATAAGAACGTTTCAGAATAGAAGAGTGGGATGTGAGGGTTTGCAGTCTGCTAGATATGAAAGTGCTTTATTGACTCATATGAGTAGGTTGTCATCAAAGCTGTATTTATGCTTCAGAAAAGGATGGTTGACAATCACAGATTAAGAAAGGAAAAATCTCTTCCCAATGTAGACTGTTAGAGGTGGCAGAATTTTCAAAGGACTTTAGATGTTCAGTCAGCAAGAGTATTGCAGCACAGCTCTGGAAAGCAGGGACACTAGTTGTGGAAACTTGCGGAATCTTATGGATCTCTTGGTGAGAAAGAAATCCTGTTAAGTAAATGCATTTTAAATTCAAGCAGAGGATTTCGTAGAAGGAAAAGAGTAGTGTAAGAGTGTGTAAATGAAATAACCTGGATGTGCTGGAGAGCTGCTTGGAAAGACATTAGACCTGATTCTTATTTATACTAAGGCCCCTTTCCTCTAAGTTGATACTGAAAATGACTTTGCAATGTCTATAAAAATAACTTGTCATCTTTTATAGGCACTTGCACTTCCTGAGTACTGTTACTGTGTATTAGGTCATAAATTCCTGGTAGTTTATTTGCAAATCAGTGTTATTTTCTGAAAATTTCTCTATCCTTATAAGTAAGTTTACTAATTATTTCTACTTGGTTATTTTTATAGTTCTGTTGTGCTCATTTATTCCATCACTAGGAGTATTGTAAGTGATAATATGCATATTACTTTTGATGTTGATTAATAGCAGATTCAGAAGAATACTGGATTCTTACATTAAACACAGCAGTGCCAGACAACCTGTGCCCCGAATAATTTATAAAGAATAAGAAAAGGATTAGAGGTAGACCACACAGATATAAATTTCCATGTGAGTTTAGTTAGACTTTAAAACAGGGCATGTACACTTCAGAGCCTCCCTGAGATAGATGCATTCATTCTTTTATTCTTGATTCTCATTTCATCTTCTCTTGCTTTTTCTCTGAACTCCTTCCAGTCTATAGGCTTGGTAACGAGGGCCCCTCAAGGGTCAATGTAGGGTTTCAAGAATGTTTTGCCAGTTGTTTTATGGCTGCTCCTTCACCATGCTTTGTCAGCTTGTATTTTCTAAAGTGCAGTTATTGCACAGGAAGTAAGACTTAAGTTGTTCTGACTGAAGAGGGAGACATAATTCATTCTATATATAGCATCTCCAAACTGAGTTAAGCTTGAGCGTTCAGACATTTCAAAAAACAGCTGCTGTAAGAATCCAAGATGATGACAAGAGACAGCAATACAAATAAATATTTTATATGACAACGTGAAGTTTAATAATCGATTTAATAAAACCCACAATAAAGCAACACATTTCTGCTTTTTTCAATTAAACAAATCTGTAGTAAATTATTACAATAAAAAACTCCAAATACAATACATGTCTACTGTACTTCAACTTCTAATTACAGCAACTGTAAACCCCAATTTAATTAAAACCTATTTGCAGTTTGTGCAAAATACCTGTTGTTTGTGGTTTTTTTTTTTCCCAGTAAGTTTGTAAGGATGAGATGCACATTTTTCATGAACTGTGATATGGCTTAATTAATGATAGTGTTTATATTGAAGCATTAACTTCCCAAGTACAGTGCTACTTTGCCTCTGAGCTGTATGTGCTCCCATGCTGTACTCAAGTGTTCCCGATTCTTGCCAGAACAGATAAAAACATAACCCAGTGTTATGTGCACTTTGTCCAAATTAATACTGTGCTGTCAGTTTTCACCTCTAAAAATTAATCATGTGACCCCTACCTCAAAAAAAGGGAAGAAGCCAAGCTTGTTACCACCAATTGCAGGTATAAATCAGCCTGATGAATATGTGAAACCCTAGCAAGTTTCAAAACAGACAATAGCTTAAGTATTCACAGCTGAATATCACAATATCCATTACTGGGCAAAAATTTTCCTTTCTGATCCACATACAGAACTATTTTTGATGTCAGTGGAAGTTCTGCATAAAGATCAAAGTACAGAATAAGAAAAAATATTTGAAGCCAAGTTCTTACTGTCTTCTGAACTTGCAGGTCATATTCTTGTTGCCTTTAGCTTCTTCAATGCAAATTACTTCAGAAGCAGGCGTAAATCTGAGCTTGGAAGTGCGTGATAGCTTAGTACCAGGTTTTATCATCCAGCGTACATTCAAGTACAGTGATTCCGCCATGAGGCTAAGCAATTCAGTTTTGTGGACTTTGAGGATGAATAAATAGTCTTTTCAAATTGCCTCATCCCTCTGTAAATAAGAAAAGGCTTTTCTACCTCTGTAGGTTGTTACGATATTGTTGTCCAACACAATATTATGATATTTTTGTCCAACACCATTAGGTTACTGAGCTTGCTTGGATTTTGCTTTATTCATAAAGCTAAGTAGTGAGGGACTGCTATTGCAGTGGCATCCCTGTCAGGATACTGCCATACCGTGCTCAAAGCAAAGATGAAAAGGTCAGAGATTTGTGACTGAGGGAATAGTACATTCCTAAAACTTCTGCTCCTCACTTTCCTGTTAGAAGATGCATATATTTTGCACGTCTGTAGATTGTGTTTGAGAGTATCTCCATGTCAAGCATAGTTTCTGTCATTTGATTTTTCTTCTAAAACAAAACAATCATGGAAAAATGATCAATTACAGGACATTTATTAATTATAATTAGAATGCATGCTAATCAGCTGGCCTTTTAATGTGAATCAAATTCAAGATTATTAATAATAAATTCATCTTACAAGTCAAAACTTTGTAAAATAAATAACCTGTTTCTAATGTACAAACCCTATTCTAAAATACATTAAACATAACTGATCACTTAAAACACTTTGGGTCCAGTGTTGGGTCTCTAGTTAAATACCAGAAGTCTGGGCAAGGATCTTCCTGTCTGGATCTCTGAATGCCCAGATTAAAGCTAACTTTCTGGTCTGGGTACAGTAAATTCTGTATTTTGCAGTGTCTCCAAAGAGACGGTTTCCAAAAGAATTCAACTAGCACTGTATACATTATAGCTTAAGATACTGTATGAGAATTACTATTGCAAAAATACTGTATAATGAATTCAAGGATCATGACATATTATGGAATCCTGGCATGATCAGCATTAGAGACTTTAACTGAAATACTGAATACTTGATGCTCCATTTGGAGTGCAGGTACTTTGTGGTACATAGTTATTAAAGGACAATATTGGACTGTAATTTGTGAGGTATCTGCAGAGCCACATTGCCGTTTGTAAACAATAATCTGGAAACAGCTTTGTCTCAAAATCATCGTAAATTGAATAAACCAGTACAAGGGAGAGAATGAAATACATGTTCTGTAGGGCGACCACTGCACTTTTTGCAGCACCAGTTCTCCCTGCTGCTCGTTACATGGTACAAATCCACATATTAATGGTTTCTATTTGATCATTTTCATTTTGCATTTATTGCTCTCAGTCTTTGACTACAAGATAAAGAATAAGGCATCAGTTCCCAAAACATATGAAATTAGGCACTGGAACTCTGACAACTTGCACAGGTTTTGCTCATTTCCTGTTTGTAACTCTGAAGCTGGACAGAGCACTTGTACATTCCAAATGTGTTCAGCAGCAGTTGTCGGGCCTTGTACTGAACTTCCTCCCATTTAGATGAACTACCAGGAACTGGAAAATCAAGAAAATAATTAATAGAATTCACTCCTCCAGAAACCTGGACAATCCAGCTGTTCTCAAATTTTTCAGTGTTACCAACTAGAATAATCTTTACTCACATTCATTTATTAATATTGTTCTGTGGTCACTACGTACTCTATATATTATTTTACATCTTTAGGTCTATATCCTCTAACTAGAATCACATCTTGATAAACCTGTGTGTGTTAGACACCACGCCCCACCCCCCAAAAAAATTGAGCTTTTTTACTAAGAATTAATATTCATGGTACTGTTAGATGTCTAAATCAGCACATGTTTTGGCAAAACATACTTATTTTTCATATGTCAGATTGTTCCACATTATAACTGCACCCTGTCTTTCCCTGGATGAAATAAGGGAATTTTTTTCTTTTTTTCTACCCAAAGAATCTGTACTGGATGTTTCAGTATGAATTTTTTTTTTTTTTTTACACAATTTTCACCTACACTGGGTCTTTCTGGTCCAATGGGTTCTACACCTCGCTGTACAAAACCATAGTTAGTAGATTCCCTCCCCCCCCCCGAATGGTATTTCCTGGTTCAACTTCAAAACATTCTCTCTTCATATTGTTATTTGTTTGGTTTTTTCTACACTTAAATTTAATTTATAATTATGCTATACAGCAGCTTACCTAGTTGCAAGTGGACTATGGCAGTTGTTTTTCCTGCAGTGAGAGACCAAACATTTAAATCTTCTATAGAATAAACATCTTCAATTTTCATCAAGTCTTCCTTAATGCGATCAATGTTTAAATGCCTTGGAACTCCTGTGATACCAAACATGAGATAAAATTAATTCTGTCTTCTGCAAACTCTCAGTGGCCTTTAAATGTCATGACAGATCTCAATGTCAAAAGAGTTTATAATTTGTGCTGTTGGAAGTGATTAGTAACTTCCAAGTTATCAATAGAGAAGAAAATGCAAATTGGCATATTAAGTCCAGTATGGATACAGATGTTGTACAGGAATTGCAGTGTTGTCTCAAATGTAATTTATCCTGTCCAGAATCCGCTCTCTGGCAATAGCCAGCATTAGATCCTTTTGAGCGATGTACTTGTATAGACAACTTTACTGCAGCTTCTAACCCCTAGTAACTGCCTAGTAACTCTAAGGTCAGAATCTTAAAAAAAAAAAAAAAAAAAAAAAAGCGCTAGGGCCTGCCTCCTGCTGTCTCCTGAAACTTCTCTCTTCAGGTAACTCGTATCATTTTCAAATGCTCATAGTAATCCATCTGCAGTGGTTAACACATACGACTTTTGTCTCACAGCGTGGCATCTTTCCAAATCAATGATTGCACTGACCAAGTCCTTCTGGACATAGTATTTTCAGCAGCTACAGCACTGCTACAGCTTCTCTACCCCACCCTTTAGCTGTACAAAGGGCAGAATCAAAATTTTAGATGATCAGCCTGCGCTAAAAAACTAGTACAAAAATACTGAATAAACTCTGTTTCTGAATAGTTTTGTTTCTGTCATAGCTTTTTACTGCTTATCCTCCAGTTTTATGGAGTTTGATTATATATACTATGAGGAGTTCAGGCACTTGCTTCTCAAATTTCTTCAGAATTTTTGGATGACTCTTCTCTGACCCTGATGCCTTGCTGTCTTTTAAATTATGTTAGTTCCATTACCATCTCTTTTGAAAGTTCAGTGTCTAGGATTGTCTCATATTAAACAAAATTCTCCTTCTAGTGAAGACTAACAGAAAATTATTTAGCTGATAAATAACTAGCTAACTGCCCCCCAGTGGGATGGGGGAGAGAATCGGGGAAAAAAAAAAAGTAAAATTCATGGGATGAGATGAAGACAGTTTAATAGGACAGAAAAGGAAGGGAAAATAATAATAATAATAATGATAAAAAATTATACAAAGTAAGTGATGCACAATGCAGTTGCTCACCACCCGCTGACCAATGTCCAGCCAGTTCCCAAGCAGCGGTGTCCCCCCCCGGCCAACTCCCCCCAGTTTATGTACTGAGCATGACATCATATGGTATGGAATATCCCTTTGGCCAGTTTGGGTCAGCTGTCCTGGCTGTGCCCCCTACCAGCTTCTCGCTGGCAGGGCATGAGCAGCTGAAAAGTCCTTGACTAGCGTAAGCACTACTTAGCAACAACTAAAACATCAGTGTGTTATCAACATTATTCTCACACTACATCCAAAACACAGCACTATACCAGATACTAGGAAGAAAATTAACTCTATCCCAGCCGAAACCAGGACATACAGCTTTCTTTTTCCCAGGAAACATGGACTTAAATTTTGGTATCTCACATCATGCTATTGATAGACTTCCATGCTGCCTTATAAATCTATATTAAAAGCTAGAATCTCATTGCTTGTATTAGATAATCATTTAAGTTTTTAGTTTAGCATTCCTAGTATAATGATGAAACTAAAGTTAAAATGCATAATGAAAGCTGATACAACTCCAAGGACCCCAATGTTGTAGCAGTAGTCTCCAATATAAATGCAAGTCCATTCTCTGGAGATCCTGAATTTGAGTTGGAAAAATTCCCTAGCATACATAAAGCCCACCTATCATCACTTTTAATAACATCATTAATGTGCAGATTTTTATGACAACTGGGATACCTATGCAAACAGCTACAACTCAAACATCTGGAATCTGATACACCATTAGTTTGTCTTATCTGTTTTCTTCAGCTAAATCTTAGCTATTGCCTTCAACCTAATTGAGGTTTCTTAAGCAAATTTTACCATTTTTGTTTTCTCGTGAACTTCCATTTTGTTGGATTTTTTTTCTTCCTCCTAAAGGAAGCAAAAGCACTTGATATTGAAGATTTTGAGGTCCTTGATTTAACCTCTTAACATAATAAAAGTAAAGTCAATAATAGCTCACATGAGACCTTAGGAAGGTGCAGCTAAAACCTAGGATTTTTCTCCCATCCCTAACGTTTGCACTTTCTTAAGGTAAAAGTACCAACTAGATCAAGCAGTAATAGTTGGCATGTTAGTTATAATAATGCAAAGAATGTTGCTGGCATCTTTCCCTCTAAGTCACCACATGAGATAAGATTCTTCAGCTTATGTTCAGTTTTTTCTTTCCTTTTTTTTTTTTTTCTTCTTCCTTTTTATACCACTCTTTATTTGTAGCTTCCCCTATGGTAACAGTAGAAGCACACAAGTAATACAACAGCACTTGTGGAAAAAGGCATGTCCAGCCACTTGACCTCAGCTTGCTTCCTCCTTTTACATGCATTCATAGTCACTTTAACTTTACAATAATTAAAGTGTAGAACTGAATCTGAGCAAATGTTCACTTAGTTTAGCTGATAGCCACTGCAGACACACAGTAGTGTGAAATGCAGAAAGTTCTATACATTTCACTGTAGAGGTCCAAGACACCTAAGACTGCTGCAACTTAGATGAGCCATTATAACCAACAGACTAAAGTAGCAGCAGGATAAACAGGTCTCCAGACACAATCCGCATTGTTAGAAATGGTGACCATGATGTCAAAAAAGTGCCAATGCTCGCTGGTATTTGACATGTAAAGTACTGCAGACTCTGCACAGATCTTACCTTCTAGAATAATAACTCCTGTGTCACACAGAATTCGAACTGTTGTCAAAACCACCAGTATGGAGAACACATATGTACATATAGGATCAGCAATCTTGTATTCTGGCTGCAAGGGAAGTTCCAGAGTGTTAAAGGATGTATGAAAATAAGCTCACTTAAAAAATGTGACTCAGAAAATGCAGTTACTTCTAGCTCCAACTTTCATGAATATTTCTTTTTGTTTGAATAGTTACAAAATACATAATATAGTCTTTGCTTATTTTGCATGAATGTATGAAGCTTTTAATAGAGTATCACAAAGTATTTTTTTAATAACTTACAAAAACAAGTCCCTTTTTAATTTAATCAGCAGAGCTGAAACTAAAAAAATTCCACCCTGCCTCAAAGACTAGCCATGCCTTACCTTAAAGCGTATGATGTATGCAGCTACAAGCACACCAATACTTTGTACCAGGTCCCCAAGGGCATGTACAAATGCTGCTCTCACGGCAAGGCTACTGTGTCCATGGCTAGTGCTGTGGGCTGTGTTAGGAGAGTTTGACTGAGGTACGTGAGGGTGGGAATGGGAGTGGGAGTGAAGGTGGCCGGATTGATTCAGCAAAAAACCCATTCTGAAAGTGAAAGAAGAAAAACACTCCAAGAAACAGGCTTTAGGGTTTGGTGGGTGGTTTTTTTTGTTGCTTTTTCTTTTTCTTTCCTTTTAAACCAAAGAATTAAAAAAGCAATACTCAGTATCATTTCTTGTCTTATTTATGAAAATGAAAATGTAACATCCCATGAGAAAGTTACAGACCATGAATGAATTAGCAGCTTATTCAGAAATACATTTATGAGTGTTAATGGAGAGAAAGGGAGATCTTACATTAAGTTAACTGCAACACCAACGGCTGCTGTAATCAGCATGATATCGCCATTTATTTCATAGTCCATATGGATAGTTCTTTGAACAGCTTCATACAAGAGGAATGCCATAAGGATATAGACCAGCAATACACTAATGATGGCTGACAATACTTCTGCAAACAGAAAGGAAACAACATTACAAAAGTGAGGCTCAGATCTATTTCTATTTCCAAATTAGAATGTGGACAGAGCCTTAATTATTTTAACTATTTTATGCATATTATAACCCTAACACACAACTAACAAGTTGTGCGATAAACAAAACTCGTAAAATAGGATTAACGAATGGAGTTTGTTCTAATCAACTCCTTCAGGCTTCCTGTCAGTATATCCCTCAAATTATGTTTTCTCTGAAAACTTCTGCATGGGTGATGACTGTGACTTCTTCAGACAACCCAGAACTTTTGCTTGAGAAGTCGCAGACAAAGGCCCTGTCCAGGGGAGAGGAAGACAGGTGATCTCAAACATCACCAGCCCACCTACAAATAAGAGAAAGCTTGATTTCAAGTGTCCGCAGTATTAAGCTGGATTTAGAAATTTATATATCCTTTTGTATTTAGGATGAAGAAAAAATTATAGTAAGATTAAGAAACTGAACAGTACAAACTTGTCAGACGGATTAATCCTAAGCTTCTTGACATACGTGTACATGTTATTTATTGCAGATTTTAGCTATGAAGAATTGCTTAATGTAAGTTTCTGTATTGCTGTAATATGCTGTTTTAACATTATCTAATGTTTACCAAATGCTCAGTAAGTGTTATGACCAGCATTTTGGTGTAGGAATTTTATCTGATCAGTAGGGACTGTCAAAAGGACACGTACATTTAAATAAAGAGAAAATTAGCAAGTTGATAGAAACTGCTAATATTTCATTGTCCTGCACCTTCACCTGCCATTCACATCTGTGGGAAGTAGTTACAGCTCTCTACAAGATTCCTGCTGTTCTGATGTGAGGTAAATAGGCCTGAATATTTTATGAGTCTGGACCTTAGTGCTGTCTGCCTCAGTACCCAAGTCATGAAATTGGGCTGGTAATAGCATACGTAAACCTGAGAAGTATGAGTCCACATTACAGTTTTAACGTCCTACTATAAAGAATATAGGTATTTCCAAATGGGTCACTAGATTTCTTTTTAACATAAACATACTTTTACCCTCTAGCTTCAAATTCTGAAAATGATGGCTCTGTTGCAGCTGAAAAAATAAAAAAAAAAAAGGCAAGATACCTGACGCAGAAAACACTGGCCCAGTTACAACTGTCTCAGTTATAAGCAAGTTAATACAGGGCTTTACAAAAAGCACTGGGAAAACCTTAATGCTAGCTCCATTGTATTGCATGTAAATCCGCAGCCACTGAGTAATCTGTAATCATTATGCTAATGCTCATTATTGCCACTTGCCAGATGGATCACTGGGATCTTAGCCTTCCTGTGTGAATTCAAAGATCAGAGTTGGAATTAATTTACTTGGAACTGTAATGGTTGTTCTTCGCCCTTGTTCCACGCATGTTGCCCTGATTTATCCCCCAGTAAGGGCAAAATTCTGCTCTTGGCCGTACCATAGCTCTAAGAATACTGATCTGAGACTTGCCTCACTTCTCCCTCTGCTTTGAATCTGTCAGTGTGTAGTACAACTTTGGTTACTGCAGAAGGTGTCATTTCTAACACAGAACTGCCTTAATTTTATTTATTGAATATTACAGTAAAAAAGTGTGCAGCTATATAAAAGCATTTTAATATCACCAAAATCACTTGATCCATACACTGAATTTTTAACATCGTTATGGGAGAAGAAATTCACACCAACGCATTCAGCTGTTCGGTAGTGTGTCAATGCCTGGATGAGTACCAGCATTACCAGGCAGTAACAAGGCTCTGAAAGGCAACTATCACAATCTCAGATGATTTCAGAGCAACATGAAAATCCTGGAAATATCCATGCAAGTGGTACTGTTTTTACAAAGCAGGCAGATTACTAATGGCAACAGCCTTAAAAAAAAAAAAAAAAAAAAAAACACATTGCTTGGAAGGTTTTCCAGAATGCTTTTTAAAAAATTTGTGAAGCCATAGCACATTAGCATTTACCAGAGAAATAACATATTGTGGTTTTACAATCTAAACCCATGTTTTCTGCAACGGAAACCAGTGTTTTCCTTGCAGTTTCTTTCACAGAGTCATTGTCATGTCAGCATTGTAGATTTGTGCTGAGATCTTTCACTTCTTGTGAAATAAACTATGCACTATCTCAGTGGACAGACTGATTCTGTCATTACTAACATTGTCTCTGCAGCAATGGAAAAATGCCAGGTTCCATATCTATGCTTAAATCTGCTCAGTGTCTTGCTGAGAAGGAGGTATCTCCACTTGGTGGTGAAACAGAACTATTTTTGGCTTCAAGAATATAATCCTTTTTAGACATGACTGCAATTTCAATTATTTTGTCTTCAATTTTCTAACCCATTCCTGAATCTGTCAGCTTCCTTTTCACCACTGAGAATGGAATAAAACTGAAGATGGAGCATACATATTCATTTATTTGAATTCTCTTTGAAATAAATAAAACTAGTGCTAATTTCCTTCTGGAATTTGGCTAGACAGCTAATAGGTCTGTTGTCTTTACAATGCAATGTTTATGGGAAAGAGATTGAAAATTCATCGTTCTGCAAACGAAAGTGATAATGAGCACCAGAAACTGTTTCTTAGAATGTTTTCATGCTTACTGTATGTATAGATTATCTTAAAACTTAATGCAAAGCAGGTCAGCAATGAGATGGTTCTTGCTTTATTCCCAGCTTTAAACAAATGTTCCACATTTTTTCTGTGACAGATGCTCGATCTGTACCCTATTTTTAACATTCTGTCATGTTTTAACATCTCTCTCATTAAATTCAAGCTACTGTTGAGCTCATACTATTTGCTGACAAGCTTCTTACATACAAGTTATTTGGAAAAATGTGTTACAGCGAGGATATACCCTAGAAGCAGCTTTGTTCCATTGCCAGCATTCACTGATGTGTGAAACTGGGCCCTCAGGCCACAGCGTTCAGATTGGGTGCCTAAAATCAGGCAAATAAATTTCACAAATGTGACTTTAAAAAAACTGTGCATAGTAATTTTGAACCATCCCATCTTCTGTACTTGCAGAGCCTAGGTCAAGGTGTGGGGGTTTCTTGCAGGGCTTTTACCCACTTCCTCACTGCAGCTACAGAAACAAACTCTTCCTCTGATCCTGAGGCTCTAGTCGTCCTCCTCCTACAGAGAGAGCTGCACTGCTGCTACTCACACAAATGATTGAGGTAGAAAGGAACCCCTGGAAACTGTGTAGTCCTGCTCAAAGCAGAGTCAGCTACAGCAGGTTGCCCAGGGCTGCATCCAGTTGGGTTTGGAGTACTTCCAACTGTGGAGATTCCGCAACCTGTTCTAGTGTTTGACCACCTACTGGCACTGGGCAGCAGAAAAGAAGGAGCAATTGTTGCAGAACTAAGAAGCTGCTCCCTGTAGCTTCTCCCAGGGAGAAGATGGTGCCCAAGGAGAAGATGGTGGGCGATATGGACTAATTCTATGGGCCACATCTGGCCCATGGGCCACCGTTGGATCAGTCTGGCCAGTATTTTTCTGGGCAGTAAAATGGAAAGAAAAAAAGATACAAAAAGGTGGCAGGAATCCTCAGGGATTTGTGTTTGCAAATTAATTAATTGAAGTGTCAGTGAAAATCTACAGAACTGAGTAAGATTTTAGTAGTTAAATAAGGTAAGTTTATTTTTCTTAAGGTTAACTCCTGTTTTAAGCTAGGCCATGGCATGTTAATGTATGTACCATTTGGTTTTAGAAAAGTTAAAAGACACATAAACTACTCAAATTATTTTTAAATAGGGTTAAAGTATGTATAAATGCTAGCAAACGTCCTTCTGGAGAGTATGAGCAAATGCCAGGGGCATACCTGCAAGGTCAGGTTTCAGTATGAGGGGAGCTCCTATCGCAAAATTAAAACTTCTTGAAAGAAAAGTTTGTAATGGGAAATGCTGGCATTGTTAATGCTTTCTTGCTAAAGCCCCAAAGATCTTTGCTAGTATACAGAGTTATGCATTCATGCATTAGTGACTAACTGATGACAAACGACTAGGAGTGATGGAGTTGTTGAATTCTACTGCTGTTCTAGCAGCCAAAGTAAGAATTGCAAATAATGACTATACAAGACTGAAATTCCTTGAAAAATATATGCTATAGAATGTATAGAGCAGAAGCAGCAAACTGTGACACCAGAAATTATGTATTTCATGAAAAATAAAGGTTGAAGCTTTTGGTAAAATGTCTACAAGACCTGAAGCTGTATATTATGAATGATTATATCCAGTTAGCAACCACATGAAAACAGCCTTTATCATCACTACATTTCCAAACATGAAGTAATGAATCCTGAAAATACCTTTCTAAGGTTTAGTACATAATTCTGTTTATACTTCTTTTTACGGACACATAAAATGGGCAGAGGTTAAGTAACTTACTGTATTGCAAGCCATGGGACACTTTGACCTCTGCTTTGTGTGGTTTGGGGAGTGCAAGGGGAGTACTGATTTATGCGGCTTCTGGCAGGGCAGAGCTCTCTGATAATACACTCTACAGAACTTTTTAGTTCTGGATCAGGATGTCATTTTTCACACTGAATAGGATCTTTTTCTAGTGTCATAATTCTACTGAAGTCAACGGGACTTTGTAAATCCTGGGCACTGGCAATAATCTGTTGTGAACAACAACTGACTGACGTGTACAGCTCCTGCACCAACAAGCTCCTCAGTGTGTCACACAAGCAGTAACAGTGATAGAGCAGTGAGTGACCAAAGAATGTGTCCCTCTTGCTCAACAGGCAACAGGCTCAATTCCAAAGCACAAAGGTGCACAGAGGTCTGACCTAATGCAACAGCCCAGTAACTATGGATGGGCTGTGAAACACAGCTGCATATCCACCCTTGTTCTTGCTGGGGACAGCTTCCCTCTGCTGAACCCTTTTTAAACTTTTTAGGCTATGGTTCATTTGTAGTAAGTCATTTACAATGTCATCATGTATCCAATTCTCCAACCGTCCTCTTTAAGATGGAAGATGAATCAAGCATTCAGAATTTAACTCTGAATCTGCTAGTTCAGAGATGGAGAGATTCATCCTGCTCCCAGTGAGTGAAACTTTGCCATCAAACTTCACTTTTGGCTGAGGTTTAAAATTTAAAATTTTTTTTTTTTATTATCTATTCTCTTGTGGCTATGCAACCTATGTAGTGGATCCACAATAGCCAGTGAAAGGACATTAAAGTCAGGGTGTTAAACATAAAGCAACTTTTAGGTTCATTGCTACTTTCCTTCTAATTACCTATTCTTCTAGAACTGGGTAATCTTTACATTTGTTACTTAAAATACTCTGTTAATAGCAAAAGCTCATATCTACATACCTAAGCGATGAAATCCAAAAGTGAACCTCTTTGTGGGAGATTTTGCAGACAGCCAGAGAGCAAGCAGGGTCAAAATAATACCGCTAAGGTCAGTTAACATATGAAGTGCATCTGTCATAATTGCTAGACTGTTAGCAACATATCCACCTAAAAACAAAGTTGGAAAAGTCAGGACATATGACATTAATGATTCTAGATAATATCCTCCTTGCACAGCTTACAGTTATTTATTTTCAGAACGGTGCATTAAGTGCATGAGAGCCCTTCCTGTAATCACTAAAGAGGGGTTTTTTGCCATTACAATCAAAATGCCATGCTATAATTTAAAGCTACCACAGTTACAAGTGCAGTGAAGTGTGCTTTCTATTGAGAGTAACATAGAAAGGATTCACTCCTGGTATTCTCACAGAGACTACTTGCATCATAACATTTGCAAGATCAGGCCCAAAATAGTTTTGTCTCTTTTCTCTATGTATTATTGCATATGTGTTTAATCAGCTCATCCTTTTATTAAACTACATCTGTTAAATATTTCGACATTATAGAACAGGGACAGAAATCCAATGACTCAATGGCAAGGAAATTTACCCTGCCCCCTTTTTATTTTTATTACATTATCTTTTAACCTTCATTATTCCCTGTCCTGGCAGGGGTGTGTAAGTTCTGCCAATATATATTGCAGACAATGACTTTCACTTGCACAGCATTTTTCTCTGTTAGTTATGACCATAATTTTTTCTCATAATTATAAGCTGCATTGAGACAAATAACCTCAGATCAAACGTTAGTATCTTTGTTCCAATTCAATTGCTAATGCTACTATTGGATGGGTGAGAGATTTAAACAATGCGCTTATCTCTTAAGCATCCCTTATCCAAAGGCGAATCAAGGACAGGCTGCGTTGTCTTCCATATGCATGAAGGTAAGCCCATTTTCTCAGAGAAGATCACATCTTTCGTGTCAGCTCAGCTATGATTTAGTTTCTCTTTTTACCTTGAGATTGTCATTCAGCCTGTAAATTCTACTGAGCAAAGCATGCAGCTGGTGCGCCATTTGGCAGGCTTGAGGCTCCAACTAACATTTCAAGTAAAGGTATCTTCATATACAGTTAAAACTGTCTTAGTGAAGAGGCTGACCATGAGGAAATAGCAAAGGGAAATTCACAACTGGCTGATTGGTTTCAAGACTAGTCATAAAACATGTGCGTGTGTGTATGGCTGTGGGTGTTTGTATGTACACACCTGCAGACAGAGCTATGCTCTCCTCCCCAGCCAAACACAAGCAGCATGGCTGACACTGTGGATAACTACCAAATACACCACATTTCAACCAGTTCCTTTCCTCCATCCCCCCTTCTTCAGCTGTTCATAAGTTTCTAAGTCAAATTCTTCTGAGGCTGAAATTTTCCAAAGGCCATCACAGCTCAAAAATAATGAGTTTTTAAGATTTAGCAGTTCAGCAGCTTTTTGAGTAAAATGAGTTACGTCTTTCCTTTCTGAATTAATTTGTGTTCTCACATAATTTAAAAAAACATGACTTAGAAATGTGCAACTCAGCCTCTTTTATAGTCACACAGAAGAAACAATAATTCATATCTAAGGACATTCAATTCAGTAGTTTACATGTATGATCATTTGAAGTATATATGTTAATTCACATGTATTAATTTTGAGAATCACTTCAGTCCAAGATGAGTCAATTCTATTTCAGCTAGTCTCTCACTTTTAAAGACTTTAAAAATAAAATGATAAAGAAAGAATTCAGGTATCGAAGCTAACTGTAATGCAGCATGTGGATTAAGAAAACATAATTGAGATTTATGAAATTCTGAAATCAAAGGTTCTCTGTTTCCACATGTATCAGTTCGTTGCTTGGTTAAAGGTACTGCCTAAGGGCTGTTCAAACCCGATTGGCAACTTGGGGAAAAAAAGACATCTATAACCTTTACAATAGACAGCTTGATGGCTCACTACGTTTTCAGTGACCCGTGAAGGACAGCAGTCCTCCTCATGGACGATCAATTAGAAATCTCTAAACATAGCTGAAAACATCAAAACCCTGTCAAGAAAGCTAACTAGGACTTGCAATATGTTTTTCATTTCTTGATGCAAAATGGTTCCCACAAAGTGTAAGTTGTTATCTGACTTTTACAATGACTGCTCATCAAATTAAACAACAAACACTGTGGTGGGCTGGGGTAATGAGCTTGGCTATACTTTGGAAAAAATATGCCAATCAAGATTTCCCAAAAAAGCTGCTGAAATAAGATTTCCTTCATCTTGACATCAGTACCAGACAGCAGAAAGATTTTTACTGAACAAACTAATTGTCTGATAGGGTCTTCTGCCTTTTTCTCAGAAACTCAAATCTGTCAAAGATCATAGGAAGAAGTCAGTTAAATGTCCTATATGATCAAACAAAGTTTCCCAAATACCTGAGCTACAGGTCAATTCAAAAAGTTCTAGAATTTGAAACCAGCCAGACAGAACACAGTACAGGGCTGGAGTGAAATAAATTAAACAGTTAGGGCACTGACCCAAGACTTGAGGGCTCCATCTTTAATTACTCATTCTGCTGCTGCTTACTTGCCCTATGACAAGTCAAGATTCAGATCAAGATCTGCACAGAAGTGCAGAGATACCCAAGTCCTCTATTTATTCTCGGTGGAAGTTGCATGCCTGAATATTTTATGGGTCTGGCCCTTAGTGCTGTCTGTCTCAATGCCCAAATAATGAAATAGGGCTGGTAACAGCATACATAAACCTGAGGAGGATGAGCCCACACTACAGTACTAATGCTTTGTACAGACAAATCCGCCACCCTGAGCTGAGCTTGCAGAAGTCCTGCCTGTAAGGGAGAAACAACAGATGATGTGACAGTGATGAGAGAGTATGTTTACTCTCAACACCTATTATTTCTAGAGCTCTCCCTGCACTAGCTATGGAGAGGTCTACAATAGCGTGAATCGGATCCAAAGCCCCCAACAGATACACTCTTAGTGACTTCAGCATCAAGCTGCCAACAGCTCAGACATACTATTCAGTATGGGGCCCTTCAAATGAACTAAATTCAGCACATATCAGAACTCTGATATGAATACAATCAAATAAAATCAGTCTCATGTTAAAGGATGTCTGTATCTGAGATATAACACTATGTTGCTTATCAAATTTACCTGAGTTCATGCTGAACCAAAATCTAAGCCAGAGAAAAAGACAGAGCCAGGGACAAATGGAGGCATTCAATCAGATCCCTGTGAAAGGTTTGGTGCGAAGCGCCTTATCTGTCATGAGCCGATGTATTACAGCAGTGTTATTAATGACTAACCACACACTGAGAGATGTTGAAGGACAAAACCATTTTTTTCCATTAACCCATGTTCCTGAAATAAGGCCCCAAATAAAACTGGTGCAAATATAGTCAGTATTCTGGTCTCTCTCTGAAAAACGGACCATTTCTCCTAGGGATTTTTTTCTATGTATGTTTAAACTCAAGCGATGATTTTGCTCCCTATCCATCTTGTAGCAGTTTATATCTTAAAGGTACAATTCATAACTGTCCTAGGACAAGTGATCCAAGAGCACGAGCTCACTTCACACGAGCAAACATCAGATCTTCAGTCATCACTGACCAGATTTGCATAGGTAAGGAGGAGGATGTAGGTCCCATGCTACTATTCCTGAGGCATCTCTGGTCTTTGCTTCCAGAAAGTTTTTGTGACTTGATTTTTTTTTCCCCCCTGGTGAATTATGGCCAATAATTTATCTGATTAGCTCTGATTTAGACTTGTATGTTAAAATGAAAGCAATTTAAAAGCAATTAATTGTTATAGTTGCTAGAGAGACCTGTCTCAACATACACATCAATGTACTGGCACTGTGTAACACTCCCCACTACTTAAAATCAGAGGAAGGTGGATTGAGAGAGTTTAAGCATTCTTCAGCAGACACTTGCCCTGAATGGCATGGACGTATCCAAAAGACAAATGGTAACAGGACACCAATATTAAATTGATAAGTGAACAGAGATTAACAGATAAATACTGTGCTTCGAAAAAATTATTAAATAATGGTGAAGGCGTAACATTTAATAGCTCATCTATGCATCCAAGGGACTTTCAAATTTAATTTTATTTCAAGCCTATGTCTCTATAGCCTATTAAATAAAGCACTGTCATTTTGTAGAGACAGCTGTGTAATGCAGAGGTTCTCTTCAACCTGAACAGCAAATAATAACATGCCTTTATGAAGGAGCAATAAAAGCTGAACTTCAGCACCAGATTCATTCTTCTGACCAACAACAATCCGATGCTTATGTAAGAACAAATTTCCAGGTAAAAACCCACCATACTTCTGCCAAGTACTAACAAACAAAAAAACACAAAGAATTTAATCAAACTACTTGGTATTCTTATGTGTTGTAATGGGAAGTGTTAAAATACCTATTATTTTAATTGACTTTGCTCATAAGATTTATGTCTGGATGGAGCATATGCTGGTCTAGAGCACAGTAGGACATGAGGAAGTTGTCAAGAGAGTGGCTTCTTCACTGGATTGTTATTGACAGCTCAGAATTTGACTTTTCAGTAAGTAACAGAGTGTATTGCTGTATCTGGTGAGTAAGGACAAATACCCCCAACATTAGTTTTGTTATTATGGTAAACGTTACACTTAGAAACTGTATCTCCCTCTTCTTCTCTTGTTACAAACGCAACCAGATTTTATGGCAATAATTAAAAAATACTGAGGATTCAGTTATTCATCCTATTATATTTATGTCTGCAATAAAACGCAGTTTCTCCTTTGCTAAAACCACCTTGCAAACTTACAAAACGGGAGAAAAAAAAAGCCATTAGACGTACAAAAAAATGTGTATTTTATGCCATTTGGGGGGATTGATGATATTCAGGTAAGGGAAGCTGTAAATTCCTCTTTCTTTTCTTGCATGGTAAATACAGGTGGACTTTGCTCCTTCTTGCTCTCTGAACGTGCAGCTAATCTCTCTGATCTCTGAATGACAGGTGGTTTATCTTAGTAAATATTTAAAACCAACGCCGGAGCAGCGTAACAGGCTGCGAGGCACCCGGGCCGAGAGACGGCAAAGCAAGCCCCCGACTCACCGACGAGCTCCC